ATGAAATCATAGCCTTTTGAAGTTTAATCGTCACATTCAGCCATATCGCAATTCTGGTCTTTCCGTCCCCAAATTTAAGACCTCTTGAAATCATAATTAAGACTTTCTTGTACAATTTAAGTCTTTTTAAGGCCTTAAATTTGATACAACTAAATGTAAGACTTTTAAAGACTTTTTTAAGACCCGCGGAAACCCTGTTAATCGTTACATCCCTACTTGGTTTAATAAAAACAATAATTACATAATAAATATTATAATATTTTTATTACTTAAAAAATACTTTAATAAGCAAATAAAGGTGTTTTGCGCACTGCAGTAAAATGCAGAGAGAACTTCAAACTGAAATTCAAACCTAAATGGCAGAGGAAAATATGTTTTGTTTGTTCCCAGTGCCTGTCTCCTTTTAAAATTAGAAACAAAAATGTCTAAACCAAAGGAACTCAAAAGAGAAAGATTGCTTTCTTGGCATATTAAGGTTAACAAAGGAGAATGAAGGCAAAGCAAACATTTAAAAAAACCATTAGATGTGCTTCCTGAATTTCTTAAACATATTTCTGTAATGATGAGAACGTACGAATACTAACAGACAGATAAACGGTCATCAGCCAGGAAAAAACCTAAAACATGCAAAAACACGAATAATGAAGCGGTAAAACTTATTATATTACTCATATTGCACTCACAAACATGTGCCAATTAATGTTGTGAAGTTAGTCAATTCATAAGTTTTTCAGAAGTTATGTCACAATAAATCATGAAAAGTCATGATGAAACATCACTCATGTTCCCTGCCTTCATAGTACACATGCTTTCTCTAGATGCGATGCACTTTCTGATAACCTTTATAAACCTTCAGAGAGCTTTACGATTCTCTTCACAATATAATCAAGAGAGATGGACATTCACCGTTAACCTGTTTCTCTGCTACACTGCCTTACCACAAACACCTATTCATAACCAAAGATCAAAATAATGTCCAGGGATTCATGACAATAAATGTCAGTCTAATAGTTCTGACACAAGATTAATAAAACTGCAAGCATAAATAAAGACACAAATGTTATTTAAACCACAGTTTCCTTCCATATACACGGCCTCACAAAGTATTTAGACTCACTGTCTGAATGTGATTACGTATAAATTATACTTGGTTTAATATTTTGTAATGAATGCATCTAATGCAATGAATGTAAAACATATATGTTTAAATTAAGCGTCCAAATCACTGATTTCTACTGTATATATGATATGTAGAGCAATACATTTTGGAGCCACTGTACAATTATTATTATTATTATTGTTAAATCCTCATAAACCAATTTCTTTCAAATGACAATGGTGTCTAATACTAAGTCATCAAGTAGTAAATATGATTTTTTTTGGCCTGAATATGAACATGATAATGCAGTCATGGGAATGAATGAAGAGATGCTTAGATGTTATCCTCATTCATTTATCCTAAATATACATTCAGCACACAGTGGCCATATAAATTCTTAAATAAAGCTATATGCACTCAATTTGATCCATTTAGGTTTCATAATAATGTGTTATGAAGCAGAGCAGCAGGGTTGAAGTGTTTGTGACAAGGCCCCCTGTGTGGCCTTCACTCACACACTCTCTCACACACACACACACACACACACACACACACACACACACACACACGCGTAATTCTTTCCATTCCTGCGCGGTAAACAACAGCGAATTAACTACAACCCCGAGAAAGACACACACACACACACGAGCTCATACAGGACCGGAGACACGGAAGTAACGTAAATATTGGGAGTTATGCGTGTTTACGAAGCTACAAGAGCGCTAGCTTTAGCAGGAGCGAACCAGCGCGGGCCGTGTCTCTAATCCTAGCGAGCTCACTACATAAACGGCTTGCCACATGGGCCGCGAGCACAGGACGCGTTCGGAATGGAACGGAGCGCAGGGTTCCAAACGACGTCGGTGCTCCATGTGAACGCAGGACTTTAAGATGCCTATCTAGGTTTTAAGACACAGCCACGGTCACGATGCACAGATACCATTATTATACACATTAACGTTTTAAACGCGTTAGGATGCAAGAGCGCATTAGTCTGACAGATTTAGCTAATCGGGTCTAAATCATGTATTCAATGGATATATATATATATA